CCCACAGGGGGACCTGACCCCCACTCTTTGCACAAGGTTGGAATCAGTGGGGCTGGCTCCCCCCTCAAGCTCTCAGCATCTGATCTGGACAGCTGGCCACAGGAGGATCAGGCGTCCCATCGGTCGCCTCTGGACCACAGAACCGCTGGACTCGCCTGCAGCCTCTTTGCACGCGCTCTGTATAACACGGCCGCCCCAATGGGCCGAACCGCCCAGGAGAAGCAATGCCAACGTCCGGAGACCGAAGCCAGCGGGAGAAAGGAAGAGCCCCACCCTGATTCTGGGCGTTGTTAAAGGGGGGGGGGGAGAGAGAACAGCAGCAGAGAGAGAGAAACCTGGGGGGGGCCCTCTCACACCTCTGCTCCTGGCCTCCCTGCGGTGTCTCCTCCTTCACCGGCTCTGCCTGGGAGGCCTGGTCTTCACAGCCCGGGCAGGCTGGATCCGGCCAGTCTCTCTGCCGGGAAGGCCAAGCAGACTCACCAGCCTCGCAGCTTGAAGGCCTCCGGGCAGTCGGGGTTCACCAGGAGGCTGCTGGAGGAGACCACGGAGAGGCTCCGGCCCCCGAAGTCCGAGACTCGGGCCCCCCGGATGGCCACTACCGGCTGCCGAGAGCCGTCGAACTTTTCCGCCTGCAAAGCCAGGAAAGGAGCAGAGACGCCAAGATCAGGGCAGGAAGGGCAGCCTGGGGGGGGGGGACTCGAGGCCAGAGACAGGGGGGCTCTTTGAGGGCTACAAACTGCTCATCTGCCCCCCCTCCCGTCCCCCTCCTTCCCCTGCCCCTTCGGAGAACCTGGATGTTTGTGCTCCAGGCAGGAGGTCTCAGCCCTCTAGCCCCAGTGATGCCCGGGGCGGCTGGAGCCCCCGAGCCCGGCCTGGTTGGGAAGCAGCAGCACCAGCAGCACTACTTACGTCCGCACCCCAGAGAGTGACTGTCACTGTCTTGCCCGACATGTCCATCAGGTGCAGTTCTCTCTTGGAGACCTCCCGATTGGAAGCCTTGATGGTGATCTTTTGAGGGTCGTCATAGCTCTTGCAGACCCCGATCACGTCTGGGAAAGAAGGCCAGGCTGGAGGGGCAAAGAGCCTTGTCCCCCTCCCCCCGAGGGAGGAGCCCCTCCTCTGCCCTCGTCAGCTGCCCCCCAATAGAGAACCTCCCTCCCTCCCCCCCCAAGGCCCTCCCTGCATCTCCCAAAGCTCCCTCTGTGCTAGCGAGCAGAGAGAGCGTCCTGGCTGATTAGGAGCAGGCAGCCTTCCTGCCCGAGAAGACGCCAGCGGCATCTCCACCACCACCACCCCGCCATGGGGTGCCTGAGGCCCCGTAGCCCCTCCTGAGCTGAAAGGAGGGGACAGAATGGGGGGCCCTGGGCTGCAACCTCTCTGGGCTCTGCCAGGGGAATCTGGTCCCTGAAGAGGAGCTCCGGGCAGCGTCTCTGGCTGGAGCCCAACGAGCTCCTGGCCCCGCATGCCCCTCACGCTGCAGTGGGTGTCAGCGGTGCTGGTGGAGCTTTTCAGCCCAGGATGCCAGCAGGAGCGGGCAAGCCAAGAGCCTCCGTGCCGAGGCCGGCAGCCCTGCTCAGAGCCCAAAAATGGGCCCATTCTGGGTCACTGGACCTTTGGGGCCGTGCCCACCGCCACAGGGCCCGGCTGGCAAGTGAGAGGCCCTCCCCGGCCCGGCCAGGGACTGACCCACGAGGGAGTCCTTGTTTGTGTTTTCCAAGTCCCCGATGGCCACGAAGTCAAACTGCACGGAGGGCAGGTGCTGGGCGTCCTCGCAGGGAACGACGGACGTCTCGTTGGAGAAGGCGATCTCGTAGTCGTTCTTCACAGACGAATACTGCTTGTTGGCCGTCTTCAGGGTGCCCTTGGAGAAGTAGTAGACCTGAGGGGGCAGAGAGGAGGAGGCGGCTGAGACCCGGGCGGCAGGCCCCAGCTGGGCTTGGCAGCAGAGCTATTTTTTCAGGACTCTTAACGCTGAAGGGCGGCTAAACGGGACAGTCGCTAAGTGAGAACGGTCGCTCACGGCTGGCCTTCCGCTTTGCCCCCTGTGCTGCTGAGCGAGGCAGCGGCACCCCCCAACCCAACCCCCCCCCGGTACCTTGTTCATCTCGATGATAGGGAAAAACTTGTCCGCTTGGTCGTTGAAGGCCGTCGCTCGGATCTCACCCTGGGGAGAAAACAGCCAACACGGAGCAGGCTCAGAAAGGGCCTCCGGAGCCCCGGGAGAGTAGCGCCACTCCCTTCCCGGTGATGCAAACAGAAGCCTCCAGGGCAGCGGTTTGACCACATCCGCCATGTGGCCCCTGCCTGTCCCGATTGACCGTTTTGGAAATCATGCCCAGGACGTCAACTCCGAAGAAAAGTGTGTGGGAGAAGATGGAGGGGAGCAACCGGCCCACAACTAAAATGGAATCCACGCCGTGCGATGTCAGCAGCCCAGGCCACCCACTGAGGGTGAGGCTGTGGGCCGTTACCAAATGCCAGTTAAGAATTTCAAAATCAAACAGAGAAAAATGAAAAAAAAAACCATCTTCCTCCCTCGGTTTGTCAAATCCTGATCTAGCTGGATCGTCCCCTCAAACCTGAGGCAACTGACGCCTCCCCGGACCCTCCAAGGCCTGTGCAGCCCTCCGGAGGGGCCTGTGCAGCCCACGTGGTGGTTCTGCTGGCTGGCCGGCCAGCCCTTCCTGCCTCCCTCCTGCTCCAGGAATCGGGGACGACATCACCCTGGGAAGAGCAGCGCCCGGGTGTTGCGACAAGCTCTTCCTGAAGTGGCAATTAAAAGCGGAGCTCAAGCACCAGCAGCTAAGAGGTTTACGCAAGGGGAGGATGGAGACGGCAATAAAAGCCACCCATCAAGACCCCGACAGCCGAGAGGAGCAAGGAAAGGAGCAGCCGAGGCAGAAGCGCCGGGAGCTCAGAACTGCACCTTCCGGGTCTGGACATATTTTTGCATGTCCTCTCTGGAAAGCGAGCGGGCACCACGCGGCTCCTCTGTCTGCCACCTGCTTCACGGCTTTAATTGGCTAACCCAGTTGGTGCCCCCCAGACAGACTGACCGATCGCACCCTCATTTTCTCATGAAGAGACGCTCTCCCGGCCTCCCCGTCCCAGGGAGATTGCCTTCCCCATCTTTTAGTTTTTTTTCTTTGGCTAATCCCACTCACCCAAACCTGTAGAGCAGGGGTCCCCAATTGCCCACCGCTGCTGGGCCTGGAGCCTTAGAACTGGGCCACTGAAGCGGTGGGTGAGACTGCACACATCCCCGCCTGCATGAGCAGCGGGTGAGCATGCCTGCCTCTCGTTCAAATGGAGATATGAACACACACACACACACCTGCCTGCCACTCGCGCAGAACCATCCCCTCTTCCCCCCCCCCACCGGTCCCCAAAGCCAGGAAGGTCTGCTGTCGAGGCCCCAGCTTAAAATTTAATCTAAATTTATAGGAAAACGCCCGACCCAGCGGAAGGCAGCTCAGAGGAAGCTGAGTCTTTCTCCCGGCGAGGGGGAGGCAGGGTGGCAGCTGCATCAGCTGGAGGCATTTCAGGGCAGGAGTCATTTCAACCCCAGCCCCCCCCAACCCCTCCTCCCAGGCACCAGACAGGCAGCCGGTCTGACTCAAGGCCTCTGCCCAGGCGACAAGCCCTCCAAGGCAAGCGGAGTCCCAACACTGCTGCCGAGGGCCTCTTGGGAGAAGCCCCGGCTTCCGGAGGCGAAAGGAATGGCAGTCCGTGATTCTTCGTAGCCCCAGACGGCCACCTGGGGACGGCCACGGCCTGGGCGAGGAGGCCAGCACTTACGCTCTCATCCACCATCTCTATGGAGAAGAGCTTCCCTTCCCCCCGGGAGTTGCTCCAGGTGCGGATCTGGCCCTTCTGGGTCACCCGGGCACAGATGGTCCACCTGGAAAGACACAGCAGCCATGCAGGGAGCTGAACTCGGCCCGGCCGGCGGCTCCTCAGAGAGGCCAGACCCCGGGACCCCCCTCCCTGAGGACAAGGCACCCGGGGAACCCCGGTGGGACTCCAGACCAGCCCACCCGCTGGCCGGCCGTCCTCTGCGCCGGGTCCAGGCCAACTCAGCCCGGGACCGTCCAACGCTGCACCAGTCGCTCCATTCAGGTGCTTTCATTATTGGTGACCACCTTTCCGTTGAAATTATGGTAGCCTTTGTATTTCTGGACTGACTCTATTATCGTTGGCCACGATGCCGTCAAAATTAATTTAACTTTAGTGTTTGCTGAATTGTCCCATCCCGCTCTGCATCCCCTTCCTTCCGCTGCCCAGGGGGAGGGGGAGGGCCCGAGTGGCCCCGAGGGGACCTGGCATTGCCCCACCTGGCATTGTCCCTCACTCCTGCCCCCCCCATCAGGTCCCCACCCACCGCTGCAACTCGGCCTCGGGAAAGGCCAGGCAGCCTTGGGAGGAAGGCAGAGAGGAGGAGGAGAGAGGGGCCTTCGGAAGGCTGGGCAGGCAGACCTGCCGGGAGCCCCAGAGCGCCAGGCAGACTCGCCACTCAAAGCCTCAAAGGTGGCTGTGCTGCCTTGCCAGCCCCTTTGCCAGAGGGCAACCCACCAGCCCACCCATGGCCTTTGAAGCCCACTCTAATCACCGCCCCATTGTAGGAAACCGTCCCACCATCACCCCTGAACCCCGTAAAGGAAGGGGGGGCTGGCAGCCAGGGCAGCCTTGCACTTACTTGGACTGGTAAGGGTTCAAGCTGGCGATGGGCACCACTTTGACCTGAGATCCCCCCGGAGTGCTCAGGATGCCAGAGCCCCCTGCGTTCCCCAGCAGTCTGGAAGAGCCGGGGTACTGTGCCCCTGGAGTAAGACAAAGTTGCCCACATCACCATTGGCACCTGGGGGACTGCCAACCCCTCAGGCAGCTGCCCTGGAGAAGGGGCAGAGAGCCAGGACTGGCCTGCGTCTTGGGTGAAGAGTCATTCTGCGGCCAGCAACGTCGCCCTCCTCCTCGGCCCCACTGAGGCCCCGGCCCTTGCTGGGGAGGGCAAACACCGCCCCCCCCTGCCCGCCCAAGCAGTGTGAGGGGCCGGGAAGGACGGCATCCTCAGGAAACAGGCCTCCGTTTCTGGCCTCGGCCAGGGAGAGACACCCCCCTTTCATTGCTCACAAAGAGAACTACTGGGGGGGCAGCAGAGACCCCCAGAAGCCCAGGCGTGGGCACAGCGCCCGCTCGAGGGAAGGGGCCTCAGGCTCTCTGGGGATCTGCTCCCACAAACTCCCAGGGCCTTGCCTGGAGCCTGTCACTACACAAACGACACAAACCCTCCCCCTTAATTTACTCTTCCAGGCTACTTGGAAAGAAACACACACACACACACACACACCCATTGCCCCCCCTCCATGAAAAGAATGAAGCTGTCTGTTACCTGCCAAGACCGGGCAGGTTCGCCTCCTTTAGTGGCAATTAACATCCCCGCCTGCCATAATTATCTGCCAGCTCTGGAGATGATGGGATCCCTCATTATTAATTAAGCTCTGCTGTGACCTGACAGGGCTGAAAAATGCCTTTTCCGCTCTCAGCCCCTGAGCCGGTTTCCCTCACAGGGGGAGCCCAACAAAAGAACCCCCCCCTGAAAAAGCTCCTGGCCATTCAGAGGCCACCCAAACTGGGAGCCGGGTGCCGATCAAGGCAGAGGGAGAAGCTCTGGGGCGCCACGTGCCCCTCCCCCCAGGTCCGTGGCTCCATGGCCCGCCTGGGGGCTTCCCTCAGAGATCCCAGAAATGGAGGCCTGTTTCCTGAGGGTGTCATTCTTCTTCCCGGAGGGCAGCCCTTCCAGCAGGGGTCCTGCCTGCCACAGCAGTGCCTCATTTTGGGGTGGTTTTTTTTACGAGGAACTGGCTTTGGGACAGTGCCCCATTCCCTTGGCAGCCCCCTCTGCGCACAGCTCTCTGGCAGCAGCCATGGCCTCCGGGGGGGGAAGGGGGCTTCTGGTGGGGTCACTGCCCAGGTGGCCTCTCCCATCTGAGAAGCCAGGCTGGAGCCGGGCACTTGGGCGGTGCTTCCAGATTGGGGTTTTAACAGAAGCAGAGCAGAAGGAGCAACGGACGTCACCAGAGCCCCCTGCAGCCTCCCCCAAAGACCCCCCTCCCCTTACCTGCATCTGGAGCCCCGCTCTGGAGCCCCACTGGCTTGCTCTGGAAAGGGCCGGTTGCTGGGCTGGGGGCCGTGGGCTGCCTCCCTGCTTGCCCAGCTCCTGTTTGGAGAAGAGGAGACATTTATGGGGCGTGAGTGGCCCAGCGCTCTCCCCTGCAAGCGCTCAAAAGGCAAGCAGAGGATATGAATCCCCCCCCCCGGCAAAGGGAACACAGGGGGGGGGGTGCGCTGCCCTCTCTGCCACCGCCAGAGCGAAGGCACAAAGGGGGCATTGACTCGGCTGAAACAAAGAGGGGAGGATGAGACGACATCCCAGGGGGCAGGAAATCCGTGGCCCCCACCCAGGGCATTTCACCGGGCCTGGAACCGCAGTATCTCGAGACTGATGGGGCGGGAAATCGGCTGCCTGGCACCCGGGGGCCGCCTTTGGGGCCCATGGGGCAGAAAACCGGACCGGCTCTCCTTAAAAAAAATGGGAGCGGAGAAGACCAAGGAAAGCAGCCCTGCCTCACATCCTGGGACCTTCAGATCTGCAGTGGGAAAGAAACCCCACAAGAAAGCCAAGGAGAGACGAACCCAGAACCGCGTTTGCTAGCGGCCAGTGAACGGACGCGGGGAAGGGGCTGCAAGGGGAGAGGAAGCACCGATTTGGGGCAGACATCTGGAAGGGAAGGGGGAACGAGCCCCAGACAGGGACTTTAAGACTGGGCACCGGAGTCGAGGAGGCGGCAGGGACGGGGAGCACAAAGCTGGCGGTGGAATGCTTCATTTCTTTTTTTAAATTATCACCTATCCAGCCCTCCTTTCAAGCGTTCCAATTTACCCCCTGCCATCCCTAGAAAAGCAGGACGACGGGTGCAGAAGACTCATCTTGGGGCTGACGCAGCTGCCTCTTCGGGGGCCCCTCCTCTCCGCCGCCTGGAGGAGAGGCTGGTCGGGAAAACAGGGGAGCCGTTCGGAAAACAGATTGAGCCGCTCCAGAAGCTCTTACTCCGCGGCTTCTCCGGCTCACTTAAGGCGCCACAGGCCGTCTCCAGCCGAAGCCTCCATGGCCAGAAATGATGGGCTGCCTCCTCCCCCCCCCGGTTTGGACAGCTGGGACCGCCCAGGGCAGCCCCCAAGAACTGGCAATGGAAAGTAGGTTGGTTGACACCGAGGCAGGTGGCCCCCTGATGCTCCCCGGGGAAAGGCGTCACCTTGGGGCCCCTGAGCAAGCGACCCCCACCCCTGGCAGATGGCCGGAGTGGCCCTGAGCACCACAAAGGAGCACCCAGGAGCGCCAGGCCTTGCAGCCGACCCAGACCCCCCCCATCACTGCCTCCCCACCCCCAGGACAATCAGGAAGAGCCAGTCTGCAGTCCTCTTAACGCCCCCACAAAAAGAAAAGGATTGTGTTTGGCTCCCCACCAGAGTTGTTGTCATCGTCTTGTAGCCCCCCNCCCCCCCCCCCCGGCCCTTGCAGACATAACACTTAGGACGCCTAATAAGAACACGAAGCACACAAATTAATTACCACTCAAAGAGGACACAGCGCAGCGCTAAACAACGTGTGAGATGATATAAGAGCTATTTCTATTTCACCGAGAGCCGAGCGGGGGAGCGAGCGAGTCCCCCGTCCCTCCCTCTGGGGGCCCCGAGTGGAAAGCCTCTCCCAGGTGCCCCACAGGTAAGCCTCTCTTGGACACCCCCCTCCCCCCCCGCTGTGTGTGTTGTGACAGGTGTTTTCCGCTCCCCAACCCCAACCCCATTCCCAGGGAGATCCGCATAAACAGCTCTCCAGGCCCGCTCAGAAACAGCCCTCCCTGTTGAGAGAAGAGTGGGGGTGTGTGACTCCCCCCTGCCGGATCCCCCTTTTCTGAAATGCAAAAGGGAGGGGGGGGCTTCTGAGCCTTTGATGGCTCAAAGCGGATCAGCTCAACTGGTGGGTAAGGTATAATCAAAGAGAGGCATTTGAAGCGGACGCCTTGATATCTGCCATTTAAGAACAAAACTAGTTAACCCTGAGGAGGAGGAAGAAGAAAGCGCCTTTCAGAAAAAGTGGAATTAATTTCTTAGAGCCACAGAGGCCACTGAGCTGCTGTTGGGCTTCCTCCTCCTCCTCCTCCGTGAATCAGAGCGAGGGACCTGGGGGGGGGGGTGTCCAGCTGGGAGGAAGGGGCTCCGCCTGGTTCGCCTCCGGTTTCCAGCCCCAGGCCGGTGGGAGCAACCGAAGGCCTCCGGGGTGAGGAGGGGCCTCGGCTTAGTGGCGTCTCTGCCAGCCTGAGCAATCCCAGCTCCGGAGACAGTCAGCAAGGTTTCCCGCTCTCTGGCTGGAAGAATTGCAGCACAAACCTCTTCCCTCCCTCGGGATTTAGAGCAGTGTTTCTCAACCTTGACAATTTTAAGGCATGTGGACTTCAACTCCCAGAATTCCACAGCCAGCATTGCTGGCTGTGGGATTCTGGGAGTTGAAGTCCACATGCCTTAAAATTGTCAAGGTTGAGAAACCCTGATTTAGAGGAAGGGGAAGGTGGGGGGTTGTGCCCCCAAGGCCAAGGCAGCAACCGGGGTCAGGGGGTTGCCAGTGATTCCGGAAGGGCTTCAGCTCAAGGGGTCCCCAAGGCTGACCTGCTCTGACCCCCCCCCCGGACAAAGAGCCCGGCCCCTCCTCCGCTCCTTTGCCGGCCCCCTTCCTGCAACAGGGCTGGGCAGCAGAGGCAGATCTGAGAATCCAAGGCTGGACCCAAAGTCCGGACAGGCCAAGGGGAACAAAGCGCCCTGGGGGAGCTACACTCCGCTCTGGTCCCCCAAGTGGAGGCCGGTCAGCCCTGGGATTCCATGGACCACCCCCTTCACAGGGGACCCCAGCCTTCCCTCTTCTAGGCCACTCCATTTCCGGAAACGGCTGGCGGGAGGGGGGTTTGTTTAAAAGAAGCCAGGCCCAACTCCAGGCACCCCCGCTCAGGAGGCACCCCAGCTCCATGCGTCCCAAATGCCCTTCGCAGCTCCTGGGAAATGCCGGAGGCAGCTCTTGGGGAGGGGGGGCAACCTCAGGGAAGGCTTGAGCTGGGGCCCCTGCGGGTGCCCTTCCCTCAGTAGAGAGCCCAGATCATCAGATCTCCACCTGTCCGCGTGGCTCCCCCTCCCGTGGTTCAGCCACAAATCATTGTCGGTCACAGAGCTCTTAAAAGGGGCCTGTTCCCTGCTGCTCCAAGCCAGGGAATGCCATCTGTAGCTGCTCCTGCTGGGCTTTGTGATTCCACGCCAATTCCCCCACCCTCGATACATTCCAATGAGGTTCACCAAAGGGCATCAACAGAGGACAGAAAAGCGGCCATGATTAAGCCAGGTGCAAAGACGAGAACCTGGGCAAAAGGCAGGAGTCAGAAGAGGCTGCCGAGGGCCAGCTAGGAAAGGTGGTTTACCTTCAACGTACGGGACTGGGTTTCCAATCTTGGCGGGGACGGCGTGACCCGGCTGCAGAACCTCCATTTCCATCAAGACCACCACTCGCCTACAAAGACAAACACGGGTGGGCTCCAGGGGCCTGCTGGATTTGCCGAAGACCCTGGGCCAGAGGAGCCAGGGGACCTGAGGGAGGGGCGGGGGGTCCTCTCTAGCCCAATGCCCAGCGCCTGCCTCACAGAGAATGGCCGAGCAGGAGAAGCGTCCCCCACCCTCCCCCTGGATCCTCCCCATTAGCTGGAAATGGTTTCCTTGGCCTGCTCTCCAAACAGGGGATCATGGCTTGTTTGCTTCTTTTATTACTAAAAATGGACCCGCTTCTTAAGCTGGCACCTGAAAAGGAGGCCAGGAGCCCGAACCGAGAGACCTGGCTGGAGCCTGAAGGTAGCTTTTGCCAGCATCCGGATGCTGCTCCGCTCAGAGGCAGCCCAGGACGGAGGCAAAGGGCCAAGCAGGATGAACTCCCGGTGGGCGCTGCAGGGGGCAGAACTCAGAACGTTCAAGCTGCCCGAAAGGGCCCCGGAGGCCAGGAGGGCTCCCAGATACATCCTGGCAGGCCAGCAAAAGCGCCATGGAGGCCAGGCAGGGCCGAGACGGAAGCTGGGGCCTCTCCCAGCCACACAGGCTGTCACGAACCCCTGGCTGGCCAGGCTCCTTGGAGGAATCCCTCTCGGAGAGCAGGCCCCTAGGCTGCAGGGGCCCCTCGGCCTACAACCACAATGGAGACCAACGTTTCTGTTGCTAAGCGAGGCAGCAGTTAAGGCAGACATGTCAAATTCGCCACGTCACGAAACGTATTGGAGCTTTTTTGCCATTGCCGACAATGGGGTGGGCGCGGCTTCGGTATGATGAATCCGGCCTATAGGCCGGCAGTTTGACACCCCTGAGTTAAGGTGAATTTTGGCCTATTTTACGACTTTTCTTGCCACAGCTGTTAAGCGAATCATTGCAGTTGTTTAACTAATAACATAGTTAAGGGAATCCGGCTTCCCCATCGACTTTGCTTGTCAGCAGGTCACAAGAGGGGATCACGTGACCCTCCCCGGGGACACCGCAAACTGTCATAAGTACATGCCAGTTGCCAAGCGTCTGATTTCTGATTACATGACTGTGGAGGTGCTGTAATGGTTGTTGTAACTTTTGAGTGGTCATTAAACGAGCTGTTATAAGTGGAGGACCGCCTGTTACAACGCCTTAATGCTCTTCTGAGCCATCTCGACAGCAAAGCAGGCCATTTCTGACACCCCTTAAATGCTACCTCCACGGTCAGGAGGAGGGTGTCTCTCTCCTCACCAGTCCCGCAGTGGCGCTTCCTCACCCCCCCCCGATCCGTATCTGGGGTCCCTACTGGAAAACGACCTTGTCCTCCTCCTTCCGCCCTCCACGAGGCAGCTGTCTTCCCCTCCTCAAAGGCCCCTCTCGCTCTGCACGGTGGCAGGAGAGATGCCAAGCCGGAAGTCACACCTGTTTCGTTTCCACCCCTCAAATGTGGGCCTTGTGACTAAAAGTCCCAAGCGCTAGGAAGCCGCTGCGTTTACGAGCTGCATGCGCTCATTGGGCTATTTCACAAGGCGACAGGCGGCGATCGCCTCTGCACAAAACTGTCCTGAGCTCCAGTTTTATGCGATGAAGACATGATCGGGGACCGGCCACCTGCACGGGTTAGCTCTCTGGCAGTTAGTGACGCCAAGGCGACAAGTCTTGCCTCGGCCTGCCTGACTCGGCTGCCCGGGCCCCAAGGTGGCCAAGGGGGAGACCAGCAGCCCTGGACTGGAGGGCAAGAACAGTCCATGTGCACATTCTCACACGCGCCCAAAGCCGCAGACCCAACCCCCCCACTGAGAACCACAAAGAGCCCCTTCCCATCTCGCCAACAGTGGTTCCCCCCCGCCCGGTTAGCTATGCACTGGGTGCAGAAGGGCCCCCTCAGTGTCCCTGAATCTCCCTGCATTTGGCATGAGAGCAGAACTGGGAAAATCTCCCCTCCCTCTGCGTGCCCTGTACCTCGTGTGATCAGATGCCCGCCCTCCTGGGTCTCCACACCAAGGAGCCCTCCCCCCTTCGTTGTAAGGAAGCTGCCTGCAATGATCTTGGGGTCACTTTGCTGCCCCTGAAGCATCCCTTCAAAGCGCAGAGGCTGGTCTCCACCCAAGGGGGCATATGAGGGATATGTGGGGGTCCCAGGGCTTCCATTTTCTTTTAGGAGCAGCTTCACACCGAGGTGGCACTTCCAGGGCACTGCCCATGACGGTTCCTTTTTTGGCCACTTCCTGCCCACCCAGACCCCATTCAAATGTAAGTTGGGATGATAGAAGAGAACGTTTGTACTCGGGGTTGAACTGTGGGGTTCTTGGGACTCTCTGAGCCTGCCTGTTTTCTTGTAGACGCTTTATCACCCAACTAGGCAACATCATCAGCACACGAGTTTGACAATGAAATGTCTGCAAAACATAAAAAAAGCTCAGAGAGCACCAAGGGCCTCACACGAGTTGGGATTTTTGCACCTTCCTCCCACAAGGGATACCTTTGTGTTGCCTTGGATCCAGACCCTGCAGCTTTCTTCTACAACCAAACTTAGTCTGAGCCCAAGTTCATGGCCAGCTTGTTACAGCTGCAACCCGGCCCCTGAGCCTATGCCCGACCCCATTTTTTTCAGCTTCTGTCTTTAGCCCTCCTCACTACAGGAGGGGCCAGATGGGGGGAGCTTTGATGGCAAAAGTCTTGACTTGTTATTCTGTGATAACACAACAAAGTAGCATCTCCTCCAAAGCAGGGGAGAGCCCCCCCTTCCTCATCAGTCTTTTCTCGCCCTGTGTGTGCCAGGAATGATTCACTGATTTGTGTGGGCAGATGAAAATAAGGACATTTGTCATTCTGCGAAAGTACCAGAACAGCCTTTGAGGAAAAGGGGAGCCATTCCCAGTCCCCACAGGCGCCCCCGGGGGGGGGCCTCCTTTAAGCCAGGGCCAAGCAACGGCTCTTCCGCCTTCC